CTTTTGACTTTAGCGCCCTTCAGCTTGACACCCTTCGGAGAGGGAGGGGTAAGGGATTATGTGATGTTAAAAGGCAAGGTCTCCCACACACCCAACAGTGTAGAGGGAGGGATTTATCCTTATCTTCTTACTTCAGTTTTTATTGTCTATACAAGGCTCTTTCCTTAGCTGTAAATCAAGGATTTGTAGGGCACAAAGCTTACTTAACCTTGCAAATGCTCTTTAAGAAAAAGAATACAGGGGCTGGAGTTGTGGCTCAGTGGTAGAGTGCTTGCTTAGCATGCGTGAGACACTGGGTTCAATTCTCAGCACGGCATACAAATAAATAAGTAAGTAAGTAAATAAATAAATGAAATAAAGATCCATCAACATCTAAAAAAATTTAAAAAAGAAAAGAATATAAAATTGTAAATACCAAATTAAAGTTAAGATTTATTCAGAAGGAGCCTGTGTAAAGGGTCCTGAAGCTTACTTCACAGTATGTCTACCTCTGTCCTAAAATAAAAATAAACCAAACACCAAAATTTCCCTTTGCTTACTACTGCAAACCATTGTTCCATATCTCCTCCTCTGCATTCTGAAACTTCTCAAGGACATAGTCTATGTACAATTTCTTCACTTCCACATCATTTTGACCCCATGCCCACCATTCTATTGCAATGATTTTCTCTAAAATACCACTGACCTCCTCCTAATTCTAATGCCCGTGGCCTTTTCTTGATCCTCAACTTTCTAGTCCTTTCTCAAAATAATTTGATACATAAGTTATCCATTGACTTCTTAAAAGGACTAATTTCCCAATGGTGGGCTTTCTTCAGGGTCCCTTCAACAGGTTGTCCTCCCTCCTTTGACTCAATGATGACACCGGGGCCATGGCTTCCCCATCACCTATGTATGGCTGACCCACATTATATATCCCATCCTCTGCTTCCTTATAAACTTTAGGCCTAAGATACAAATTCTCTACCTGCAGTACCATTAGCTCACCAAACTCAACATCTTTTCTTGGCTGTGTCAGTGAAATCACTCTCTTCCAGCTACCTGTTCTAGAAATTAAACAAAACTTTCTCCCCTTCTATTCCCTCATCATCTTTAAGGAGCCAGCAGTTCTACCTTAGAAATATTCCTTGAATCAGGGTGGTCCTTTCTATTTCCACGGTCACTTGCCCTACTTCAGTTTCTCTCACTATTGATTTGGACAAATCCAAAGGCTCTTTATTGTTTGGCACTGGAGAACCTCACAGCTGGGTATAAATGATCCCATTGAATTCATGTCAGGCCATCTAGAATCTGGATTTCCTGCCTCTTCTTGGTGGCTACTTCACTCCTTTAAACCTACTGTAATCCTTTTTGTACACCAATGCCAGATTGATGTTAAAAGTGATGACTCTCAAAAGAAACAATCAATGAGGTGAAGAGAGAGCCCACATTTTGGGAGAAAATTTTTGCCACACACATGTTAGATAGAGTACTAATCTCCAGGATATATAAAGAACTCAAAAAATTTAACATAAAAAAAAAAACAAACAACCCAGTCAATAAATGGGCTAAGGAGCTGAACAAACACTTCTTAGAAGATGTAAAACTGATCAACAAATATATGAAAAAATGTTCAACATCTCTAGTAATTAGAGAAATGCAAATCAAAACTACTCTAAGATTTCATCTCACTCCAGTCAGAATGGCAGTTATCAAGAATACGAGCAACAATAACTGTTGGAGAGGATTTAGGGAAAAGGCACACTAATACATTTTTTGCTGGTGGGACTGCAATTGGTGCAGCCAATCTGGAAAGCAGTATGGAGATTCCTTAGACAACTTGGAATGGAACCACCATTTGACCCAGCTATCCCATTCCTTGGTCTGTACCCAAAGCACTTAAAAATAGCTTACTGTAGTGACACAGCCACATCAATGTTTATAGCAGCACAATTCACAATAGCTAAACTATGGAACCAACCTAGATGCCCTTCAATGGATGAATGGATAAAGAAACTGTGATACACCACACACACATACATATATACACACACAATGGAATATTACTCAGCATTAAAAGTGAATAAAATTTATGGCATTTGCAGGTAAATGGACGGATTTACAGAATATTATGTTAAACAAAGTAAGCCAATCCCCAAAAAACAAAGGCTGAATGTTTTCTCTGATAAGTGGGTGCTAATCCATAATGGGGCAGGGGGGAGCATGGGATGAGTGGAGGAACTTTGGATGGGTCAAAGGGGAGGGAAGTGAAGGGAGGGAGCATGGGGATAGGAAAGATGGTGGAATGAGATGGACATGATTACCCTAGGTACATGTATGAGTGCACAAATGGTGTGACCTTACTTTGTGTAGAACCAGAGAAGTGAAAAATCATGCCCCATTTTGATTAGAACAAATAAATAAATAAATTTTAAAAAAAGTGATGACTCTCACCAAATGAAACTATGGTCCCTGGCATGGTATGTTAAGGCTCCAAAAATCTGGTCAAAAAATTCTCAGCTTTCTCTTTCTCTTTGCCCCTTCCTGTACTGTATAATCAAGTGGGTTCTTGAATATTCTCTGAACATGGCTATACTTCTATGCAAGTAATATCTGGAATTAATTTCTTTCTCCCGTGATAGTTAGTAGTTCAGTAGTTTGAATCTCTCATCACATCTGTTCTGTCTTTATTTATGTGTCTGTATCAGATACTGTGGTAAGTCCTCAGCATCCACTGTATACTATATGATTGGAAATCGAATGGGTGATCCCATGTATTTGCTTGTTTGCTTTGTCATTTCTGACCAATGATACACGAGGGAAATCTACTGGGAGGATTCTTGGAAAGGTTCCCATGTCTTGGAAGGACATATGAAAGAATATGTCCTTTCTGCCACTGCGTATTAAGTCTGGATATGACCTGCAAAAAAAAAAAAAGTTTCAGCCAGCTTGCTTTCAGCTTGACAAAGGAATTGAATCTGGGCTCTTGATGATATTTTTAAGGCTCAAATCAACCAATCCTGGAGCCTGCTCTGCTTCTGAACTTCCTATCATGTGAAGCAATACATTTCCTTATTTTTCAAGCAATTTTCAATCATAGTTTTCTGTTACTTGCAGTCTGAAGTTTTTGATGCTATATATTAAATTTCTTGAATTTGGAACATCTTTTTAGCTCTATTAGGGCATAAGCACATTGTAGATTCTCAAAAAGGATTGTTAAATTAATACTTGTACATATTTCTGAGATATAACTAATACAAATAAATTGCAATTTAGGGATCTCTTTATTGTCTTCCATCAATTTAGAGGTGAAATAACGTTTAGATAGATTAAATAACTTGTTTAGGGCATTTTATTTCTCAGTCATATTTGTGACTAGGTTGTTCCCCTTTATTTCAGATCCTTGTTTATGACTGCCATATCTGTCAGGGTCCTAAATACTGGGGACTGAAGGAAAATGAAAATGACAAGTCACAACTGTGTTTAACCCAGCCGATACAGCATGTGAATTGGATTATTTCTTGCTTAAAGCTCAGGATTAAAACCTTTTCTCCCATCCCAGTGTCTATACTGGAGTCACTGCAAATTTTATATGCAGAAGTATTTTCCTGATAAGATGGATCATAGCTTTAATTAGATTCTCAAAGGTTGTTTGTGACCCTTTGAAGACTGAGAAGCAAATGTAACATGTTATAACACTCAGGAGTAAGTGAAAATAAAAAATTTTTAAAATGTTTCTTATTCAGTGGACTTAACACCTCCATGTGTTCTGTATTTTGTCACCTAAGGGGATCAGTAGACCAAAGACCTCTTGTAGATCATGAAGCAGGAGACATGTAGGCAATCAGGTACCTCTGATCGAGACCAGTGTAAAAGAAAAATGTAGGGCCCTTTGTTGAAATTTAAGAATTTCAAGATGGTGGCAGCAGAGCACTAAATTAAGCACTGGATCCTTCTAAGTTAGAAGTCCTGTGTAAATACATGGGTCACACACCTCTGAAGCTGGTCCTGCCTCTAGTACACATTACTGCACACACTATGCCTCCCCAATTATCTTGTATTCCTTTGAATTGCAGTCCTTCATCTATTTTTGGAGCACCTAGAATGTGCCAGGGATTGTGCTCACTACTGGGGATTTCAGATGGCCTTTGCTATGTAACAGGTCTTTTTTCTAGATCCTGGGAATACAGCTCTGAATAAGACACTTGTGTTGGGCAGCGACAAAGAAAAAATAAACAGGAAAATACCAGATAGTGATTGGTGCAGAGCAATAAATTAGGATAGAGTGATGTGATATAGAGTGTCTGGGTGGCTATTTTAGATTAGGTGGTTCGGACCCTCAGGCGGGCTGGAGAGTTAGCTGGGAAACGGCAAAGAATTCCTGGAGAGACAGAGACTTGAGATGGGATGGGGGAAGGGGAAGAAGATACAAATAAATGCCAGAGTGAGCTCAAGGTGGTGATTAAGGGAAAGGAGGAAATCATGGGAAATGGGAGGGAGCTGCTGGCCGTGGCCAAATCATCGTCTTCGGCAAACGGACTGAGAGCAAAGGAGACAGCAGCACATTCAGTGAGAAGGTCCTTAGACCTGAGCCTATAGAAGTTGTGGTGCTGATCAAATTTTGAGTAGTTGAGATGAAACTAAACGGCGTGCACCCTGGTCTATCACCAAAGTCAGGTGAGTGAGTGGTTCACCGAGGGCCAAGCCTGTAAGCAGCCCCCAGCGGCCAGCGTGCTTCCGCTGCAGCGCCAACGTGGCCGGTGCAATAGGCCGCACACGTGTCTGGCCCCAGGCCGGGGACGCGCGGGGGTCTCCGGCTCCTCCTCTTGTGCGGAGCCCTGGAGCCACCTGGCCCCGATCTTCTGGTCCGCGGGTGCGAGTCGCGTAGCAGATGGGCTAGGCGGAAGCGGGCTGGGTCACGGCGAGGAGGGGGCGGCCGGGCGCGCGCGCACTGGCCACGAGCACGCGCCGGAACGGGGGCGCGCGGGGCTATGGGGGCGGGGCGGGGGCAGCCCTTTCCCAGGCGGTAGCGGGGGCGGCGACGCTGTTGCCCTTTTAAGCCGCGGGGCCGCCGCCTCCTGCCGGTGGAGTCGGTTACAAAGGGAGCAGCGGCTCGGGCGCCGCACAGCTGCCTGCTGAGGCCTCGCGCCCCTCGCCATTTTCCAGCCGCGCTCCTACGCGGGTCGCGGCGGCGGGGAGAGGCGGAGCCGCAAGAGCGCGGCCCGGGCCGGCCCCACGGGGCGGTCGCGGCCGTGACGGCGGCTCCGGGCCCAGCTCCCCTTCCGCACCCCTCCCGCCGGAGATGAGGGGAAGATGTCCGTGTCAGGGCTCAAGACCGAGCTGAAGTTCTTGTCGTCCATCTTCGACAAGAACCACGAGCGATTCCGCATCGTCAGCTGGAAGCTGGACGAACTGCACTGCCAGTTCCTGGTGCCGCCGCCGGCGCCGCCGGGCAGCCCGCACTCACCGCAGCCGCCGCTCACACTCCACTGCAACATCACGGTGAGACGCTCGGCCGCAGCCCCTCGGGGCCGGGCGAGGGCGAACTGGGGGCGCCCGGAGTCCTCGGACAAAGGGGAGTCCGCCCCGAGAGGCCCCGGCTCCCCGGGCGGGGCGGGTCCGCCCCTTTCCCCGGCGAGTGGCCTGGCCCAGGCCTCGCTGGGACGGCTCCGGGTTTGGCTAGAAGGAAGCGGAGGGCGCGGGGATGGCTTCGGGGCTGTTGGCCCCTCACGGCCCCCGTCGCCACGACCCGAAGCGAAGACTGCGGCGGCCCCTGCCCTCGCCGGGTCGCCCTGGCCGCCCGCAGCCGGCCTGCTCCTGGAAATGCGGCGCGGCGGGTCAGCTCCGGCTGTTGTTTGAGCTCAGGTGGGGAAGGAGAACGGCCCTTAAGTTTTAGCGACTCATTCTTCCGCCAGGTTTCCCTCGTGCCTGCTTGCTCAACAAAAAAAAATTTTAAGTTGGTGTGTAAGGGTGAACTGAAAACGGATTCATTGAAGGAAAAAAAAAAGTTTAGGACGCAGCCTCTGGTACTGTTTGGAAGTATTCCTTTCCCGACCTCACTCCGCGCTAACGCGCATTGTGCCCTGGATGCGGCAGGTGGTGCGACGGCTGTGTTTACGTAGCCCCTCCTGTGCCTCAGCCCGAAAATCATTGATGGGGACCGGAGATACGTGCCCAGGTTTACTGCTCAGAAAGGTCGTGTTCTATTATAACGCTGAAAAGACACTTTAAAAAGAGCTCACTCCTTTCATTTAATCGGAAAGCTCAAAACTTGGAAAAATATTGAAGTATTAAATAACTTCATAAAAGTATATTCTGAAGCTTTTCGTTTTGGAATGGATTTTAGGGTATTGGTCCAAATGCAGAATATACTCTTTCTTATAATAGGAGGCAGGATGGCTAAAACCTAGTCCGTTGCCTTTAACGCCCTTTGGTTGAGTCCGTGGGTTTACTCCAGTGGCTACAGCTTGTTGGGAGTTTGCAAACGCCTTGAAGTTACCAGACTCTGGGGAGAAGGTGGGTACTGTATTTACATCGCCCCCACTTCCCCCAAACAAAACAGAACTACAATCTAGTGTTGTAGTGAGGAGAGGATTCATGTCCCAGTGTTGTGGGCACTGGGGTTTCAAAACTGGACAGAGCGGTTCCTGCTTTGAGCACTCAAGAGTTCTAGGGAGAGTTTTTTATAACCCAATGTGATAACTAAAGTTAAAGGGAGCAACTACTTTTGAATTGGGGGAGGTAGTTCTGAGAAAACTTTGAGGAATTGATCTTCTACAGGTGAGTACAATTTTGGAAGGCTAAGGGAAGGGCATTCCAGACAGAGGAAACTCCACCCAAACAGGACACCAAAGCTTGAGAAAACGTGGTTTGCTTAGTAAGGGACAATTTATGCTCTGACTTGAAGTCCAGAATTTAGGCTGGTGAGGGAAATTTTCCAAATCTGGGGAACAAGAAGTAGTGTGAGCATAGAGTCGATATTAGTAAGGAGACTGGCCTGGATGCCTTGGAGGGTGATTATTTTGGGAGAAGTTGGGTGTGGCCAGGGAAAGGTACAGCTGATTTAAATAATTGGAAACTGAACTCTGTATGCAGTGGGGAGCCACTAAGTTAATCAGGTAAATTGGGAAATGTATCTGCCATCCAGGATGGGTGGCACTGCAGAAAATATATGTGTGGTTTTGACTATCCCTATGTGGATGGGGTTGGTGTGCTGTGCTGTGCTGGCATTTAATGCCAGGTATACAGGTATGTCAAATGTTTTGTAATGTTCAAGTGGTCTGCCACATGGAAGAATTATCCCTCCTAAAATGCCAGCAGTGTCCGGTTGAGAACCCTACTGGAGGCTGATAGAAATCTGCTATAGACAGATAATAAATGATGACCTAGACCAGGCAGTGGCCTTGGGAGTAAAGTCAGAAGTGAATTAGACACATTCAGAGAAAGGACAGTTTGGTGAGGATTAGGTATTACTGTTAGAAACTATTAAGATTGAGCTGCTAGTAAATTACGACATTATTAGAAAATAATTATTATAGATGCTCAATGTGAGTGGGACAAACATATAATTCATGAACATTGTAGAGAAACTATGTACCCAGTCTCAACATTGGTAAACTTTTACCCAGTCATATTTCATCTGTATCTCATATTATTTTGAAGCAGATTTCAGACATATCACTTCCTCTTGTCTTTCCATGTGTATCTCTAAAAGATAAAGATTCTTTAAACATGGGTGTTTTTGATAAAATTGTTGATGCCATTTGCTTAGAAGGAAAAGAGCAAAGAAAAAATGGTGATGAATTTCAAGGGCTGGAGGCCTCTCTACTGGGTTTGTGATTTGTTATTCTGTGAAAAATTGTAGCTGTTTTGTTTGTTTAAAGTGTTTGACCCCTTCTCCAATATTTCCCTTTTTTACACAGCTCTAATATTATTGAGCTCTTCTATATGCCAGGCACTATCTTCTCTACCCTTAGCAAGACATATTCTTTTTTTTTGGTGCTGGGGATTGAACCCAGGGCCTTGTCCATGGGGAGGCAAGCACTCTACCAACTGAGCTATATCCCCGAACCCCCAAGACATATCCTTATGCAGTTTTTGTAATATTTGTGAATGGTATCTCACTAGTTGTTTATTTACAAACATGAGCATATCTATGGGTTCCTGTTATTTTCTAAAGATACTGTACTCTTTTCCCCTCAAGCTTCTGTGTAACTTTTTTCCATGTGAAATGTGTCCCTGACTCCTACCTCTTACCCAACCCTGATCTGTTCTTCCATGTTTCACTCTTTTGGGTCATGTTCAGTGTATGGTGATATTTCCCCCCTTCTCCCTTCTTTATTTCTTACTATTTCTGTTTTGGTTATTTTTTAAAAAATATTCTTAAGTAGTTTATATTGTTTTAAGTCCTTAGAAATCTTTTAATTTGGCAGGAGCATATTCTATAATTGTGCTTTTTATCTTCTGTGTAAATATTTGTTTTATTGACTGTATGGCCACCATTCAAGCTATATTCTGTTTGAATAAAAGTTAACTGCCAAGAGTTTGTCAAAAGTGTAGAGATAAAATCAAGAAAGTATCATGGATAATGTCTTAAATATTTTAAAGGTTGCTAAGGGCTTGATAGGAAATCTGTAATTTGACTACATATGAAAGACTGTGGGAAGTAAAAAAAAATTTTATATATATCTATATATATATATATATATATAAAACTATATATATATATAGTAGATGTTCTACTCTGTAGGCCAAGGGAATTGACCTATTCTTTTTTTTTCTTGTTTTATAAATTTGTCCTGATTTGAATATCAAGGGAAAAGAGTGCTCTTTACAACCACAAGGAGTCTTTCTTATTGTTTTCTGTAAACTCATGAAAGATTGTCTGCTATACATACTTAAATATTGTTTTTGCATTTTCAGACAATAAGGCAAATTACCAGTCAGTGCTAATATCCAGTTGCTATGATCACATCTAAAAAGCAAAGCAGCTTGTTTTAATAACCTATGCAGCCTTATTGGGAATTTGTGTATAACTTTCTTTTAGTCCTTTTGAAGTATTTAACATAAGCTGACAACTCCTTTTATGGACTTAGCATCTGGGAACTCTTGGTAGGGATTTGTTGTTTTAGAGTTAACCCCCCCCCCAAAAAAAAAAAAACCCCAAAAACCCAGATAAACAAATGAAACTTCATTTTTATATTATTTGCATAGCATTATTTTTTCTGCACGAGTGGCTATTTACCACAGTATTTTGGTGGAATATTTCTTTGTTTAGCTACTTACATTTCTATTTGCCAAAAAGCCCTTCCTCCAACAGCAAGACACTAAATTGGAATATGTAAGCGTAGGGTGTGTGTGCGCGCTCACGCTCACGCTCATACTAGTTTTTATTTAGTAGTTAGGACCTAAAAAAGCAAATCACTTCTTTTACTGTGTTTCTTCATAAAGTAGATAATACTTTTTGCCCTAGAAGAGATATATAGGGAACCTCTTTGGCAGTTATACTGTACAAATATGAAAGTGATGGTGTCATTTGTGTCTGAATAACACTTTATTTTGAAATTGCTTTATTATGACAGCTTTTTATGGGAAGTAAGGCAATGCTGTTGACCTTCATTTTGACTTTCTGTTTTTTTAAAAATTTTTTTTTTAGTTGTAGTTGGACATAATGCCTTTATTTTATTTATTTTTATGTGGTGCTGAGGATCAAACCCCCAGCGGCTCGCATGTGCTAGACGATCGCTCTACTGCTGAGCCACAACCCCGGCTCCTGTTTTTCTGGTTTTTACACTGATTAAAAAGTAGTCCCATCCAAGTTGTACAAAGGAAATAATGAACTAATCTTGACTAAGGAGTCTAAGACCTTTCTTTGGTTTTTCCTCCTGGGACAGGTTACCTTTCCAAATTAAACTCTGAGAGAAACATTTACAGTTATCAGGACTGTCTTAAGCTCTCACATGGTACTTTCAATCCAGAATCATTGTTTCTCATTTATCTGATCAGTTTATAATATAGGGCCAAATTCATCTATTCTCCCCCTTCCCTATTTTTTTTTTTTTTCCTTGAAAGAAAGGGATATGTGAAGAAGAAACTTGGGTTTCCCTTTCATGAGTGGTGTGTCTTTTAGTAACTTGCGTTTTTGTTGTTGTTGTTTTGGCTAAACTTAGACCTGGAGGATTATAGTATTAGGTAAATGTTAGGTAGTTGAGGGGTAGAAAATTGAATTGAAATACTCATTACTAAATGCAAAGCATTACTGGAGAGTAATAAAACAGGGCTTTCCCCCAAGGTTTTTGTAACAGCGGTTTGGATTATCTTCCAAAGATCATTCTGAAAGATGATGGCTAGTCAGAAGAACCATGGAAGCCTTTCACTGGGTTTCTGTAGCTTAGGTGGTTCAAATCCTTTTCAGCACCATTGTTTTCTCTGCCAAATTTCACTTAAGAATGATGTTCTGAGTAACTGTAATTTGCTTCCTGTCTTTGAATATTTAAGCATAT